AGCCTGGCACAGTGGCTCACACCTGTAATCCCAGCACTTTGAGAGGTCTAGGCGGACAGTTCAAATGAGGCCAGGAATTTGAGACCAGCGTGGACAACATGATGAAACCCCATCTCTGCTGAAAATACAAAAATTATCCAGGTATTACATGTCTGTAATCCCAGCGACTCTAGAGGCTGAGGCATGAGAATCACTTGAAACCTGAAGGTGAAGGTTGCAGTGAGCTGAGATCACACCATTGCACTACAGCCTGGGCGACAGAGTGAGACACTGTCTCAAAAAAGATAAGACCCATTGACACTGACAGTTGAGATATCCCAATGAAATGACTATATCCATGTTCGATCTACTTACTTAGAAGGATATCTGCCAATGAAACCTATACAATCGCACTTAAGGTAACATTTTGGGAACTCATTTTTAAACATAAACTGTCAAGGATCACCAATTATTTGAGAAACATCTCTAATGTAAAGAACAGACACAGTAAGAAAAAAAGAACTTCACAGAAAAAAGTACAAAACAATACAGGGAGCAAAAGAGAGCTTCAAAAAAGTATAATTAATATCCTCAGAGAGAAAAGAGATGCTATTGTATTTATGAAACATAAAAAGCAAGCTACAAAAAAAAGAACAAGGGTGAGTATTAAAATATAAGGACTGAAATTTTAAAAGATATTTGGGTTCGATGATAAAGATGTGAAATCTCCTAGAAAGCAGAAAAAAAGCAAAGAGATGGAGAAAAGAAAAGAAAATTAGAGGAAATAAGAAGTAGAAGACAATGCATTCCAAATTCCAAAGAAAAATTATGCCCAGCCTAGAATTTTATATCCTGCCACAACAATCCATCAAGTATCAAATGCAGATATTTTCAGACATAAGAGTTCTCAAAAATGATACTACCCCGGCAGCCTTTTCCAGGAAGCTGTTAGAGGATATATGACAGCACAATGTCAGTAATAAAGGAGAAAATATAGGAATGAGGAAATAAAGGTTTCAACACAGAAGAGAGATGGAGGGAATCCCAGGATAATGGTGGGAAAAAATGCTAGTATTACAGCAGTGCATCAGCTTTAAAGAACAACCAGACCAGAAGAATGGAGGGTTCTTAGAAGTATGTCTCCAAGAATAAAAAGAAGCTGATAGCTTACATGGGGTGTTTGAACATGTTGAGAGGATATTTACACTTCTGCAAGTTCGGTGAAAAATTAACATCAACACTCAGAAAATGAGGCAGATAAATGAGACAATAACTCTGGTTGGAAGTTGTGCAAGGAAGAAAATGTCATCTTAGTACATTACATGGCCCAGATGTGCATATGTTTATATACTATAATCATATAAAGAAGAATAAAAATTGTGACAGAAATATGAGGATGGAGATGCAGCATCTGTTGGGAACTGGTATAGGAAGCTAAACCCTCATTTTCCATTCCATGCAGTCAGTAGACATGGCCAAAACTGAAAAACAAAAAGATGGATATATAATGATGTTATTTTGCAGTATGGAGGGTAACTATCAGAAGAAATAGTTTAAAGATTTGGAAATGGTTATTCCTGGGAAGCAGGACTTGGAAATGTGAAGAAATACTTTTTTCATTGTGAATTGTATAGTATTATTTTACTTTTTAGCTATATGTAATACATTTATTTGAAAATTAAAAATAATAGGAATAAATTATAAAACAGACCTGGTAGAGAAGGTGGCGGAGACAAGAATAAAGGTTGAGCAAGGAATATAGAAGAAAAATCAGGAAAGTTACAAGTAAAGCAAAAACAACAGAATATAAACCTTAGTGAGATTTTTTTTTTCAGATTATGAGAAATAAAAAAATTCAGACAAGGCAGATCCTAGCTTAAACTTTAGTAACAGGTGCCTGGAACATTTCTATTTATTCCTCAAATCTAAGTGCAAGGAGAACCCCTCCATGAAGCAACAAAATCCCAGAGGAAAGATTAGGTATACACCTGTGCTCCTACTACAGTTGCTTATTTATGCATTCATTTAACAAAACAGTTTTGTTGTTTTTATAGATGCTAAGAAAAAATCAGGATAAAAGGGATACTTTCTGAAGGAGGGGTGGTAAGAGGACTCTGAGAAGATAATGAGGCAAAGAACATTCCAGGGAAAGAACACTCCAGGTAGAGGTAATAGTTTAGTGTCAAGACCCTGCAACAAGGAGCATACTGGGAACCTTAAACCACAAGGAAGTCAGCAAGCACTGCTGGAGCTTAGTGAGCAAGGAGAGTGATAGAAAGCAAGGTTGAATGGACCAGTTCATGTGGAGCCTTTAGGCTACAATAAGGATGTTGGGTACTTTTCTAAGTGTGATAGAAAGCCACCTAGGAATTTTGAACAAGGAATTGACATGATCTGACTTATTTTTAGAGGATAACTGACTTCTATGTAGAAAATAGGTTAAAGGGGACAAAAATGAGAGCAAGGCTATGAAGGACGTGAAGAATGGCCAGATTTGAGATATATTTTAGGGATGAAGGCAATAGAAGTCGCTGATGGATTGGATGATATGAAACCATAAAGAGGAGTCAAGGATAACTCCAAAGTTTGGAATTTCAGCAAAATTGAGAGATTTTGCTCTGAGTGAGTTCTGAGATGGGAAATGCCAGAAAAGAAATACCATTGAGATGTCAATTTTGGAGACATCCACATGTAGCTGATACTTAGCTCTTGGGACTGATTGAGATCACCCAGAGGATGAGGTAATAGAGAAATGGTTGAGAACAGGTACTCCAGCCTTTAGAGGCTGGGAAGAGGAGGGAAATCTAGCAATGTGACACAGAAAAGGAACTTCTGCTGAGGTAGGAAGAAAACCGGAAGAGACACTACCAAGGATTCTAAGGAAAGAGAATTTAAAGAAAGGGACATGCAATCTAGACAGGGCCACAGTCCTGAACTTTGGGCTCAGATAGAAAATTATTTTGAATTTTAGAAGCAGGGCAGCCTCACCATGCAATGACATTAATTCTTCTGCAGTGAGACATCTGAATGTTTGCACAAAATGGGATAAAGACTCTAATTAGTCTCCTATCAGTTCAGATTTTATCACTAAATGTAATGAGCTACAACATTTTTTTCTTTTCAGACCTTTTAGGATGTCGAAAGTATGGCTGAAGGACTATATCTTTATCTGTACTGGCTTTCATTACGACAGTGGTTTTTATTGTTTATATTGGTTTGCCTAACCATCTCCTAGCATCTTGAATCTGTTTTGTTTAAAAAACAAAGGAGAGTACGTGTGTATCTCTATAGGGCTACCAAGATGATAGCAAAAAAATCAAGGAAGGATTTGTCTCCAAACTAGTAACAGTGGTTACCTTTGAAGGGTAGGAAGAGATAATGGTTTTATTTCTTTACTTTTTAAAAATATTGGGATATGGGTTATTTTTAACATTTTGGTGTTTTGAAAATATGGTTCCAATGTAAACTGCATTTTTTAAAGAAAGAAAGAAAGAACCTCCATTTACATAAGAAAGTTAGACCAGGTGTGGTGGCTCACACCTATAATGCCAGCCATTCCGGAGTCCAAGGCAGGAGGATAGCTTGAGCCTTGTAGTTCAAGACCAGCCTGGGATACATAGGGAGACCCTGTCTCTACAAAAAATACAAAAATGAGCTGGGCATGGTGGCATATACCTGTAGTCCTAGCTACTTGGAAAGCTAAGACAAGAGGATTGCTTGAGCCCATAGGACTGAGGCTATAATGAGCCATGATCATGCTTCTGTACTCAAGCCTGGGTGACAACCTGAAACCCTGTTTCAAAAAATGAAAAGAGAAAATGTTTATTAACAAATCTAGCAAAGATGGATTTATGTAAACTCTAAGATTAAATTTTAGGAATACATGGTATTTGCAAGTACAAAGTTTATTTGCAAGAGAGATTTGCTTAGTTTTAGGATAAGTGTTTATTCTATTTGCATGTTTAATCAGTATACAGAATATGGCACACACTTCTCTGATACTTCCATCTATGAGAATGGAGAAACCAAAGTACCAGCAAGTAAATTACCAAAAAGTAGTTCTCAATCTTGGGACATAATAAAATTAGAATATCTATGTCTTATTTAAAGAGCTAGAGGGTAAAGGGAGGTTCTCCAAACTCCAACAGGAAAGATGGGGAGGATCAGGAAAGCTTTTAGGGGATAGGACTATATACCTAGGCTTGGTTGGCAGGGAGGATGAGTGAACTGAGAACCTGAGAACCTTGGCCTTGGGCCATGGGCCACAAGGGGACTCAGACTGGGAGTCTCTGTGGTGAGGAAGACACCAGAAAGTTGACAGAATGAGAAGATAATATTGAGAAACTTTTGTATGTTTAATTAGGGCTAATTAAATCTAAATTAAGTTGGATTGTTGACTTAGAAAAGTAAATCCTAAATACTTTGTCATCATGAGCTCTTTCTCTCTGTCCTGAAAATCTGCCTCTGAAACATATCAGTCTGAGGGATTATTGCCCTCTGTTGCTACAACTTTTGTTTTGATATGTTCCTGTTTTTATTGTGTTTGTAAGCATGGAAATATAATTTTGAAAACAACCAGCCTGACATGCAAGTTACTTCTTTCCTGGAAATTATTTCAGATCCTCATTCCTGTCTTACCAAAAGACCATTTCCACTAATTTTTTGCAGTGTTTTGGGCTGATTGGATTAGTTGAACAGAAACCTTTGAATAGGAGTTGGGAACATCCTTTGCTAACTCCCACCTATCTTTCTGGTTTCCACAGTTTTCCCCAGAATTTCCTTTCACCTCAGCTCCCCACCCACCAGGCCAGCCACCCACTCACACTGGGATATATCAGTTAAGGCTGGTTGAAACTGTAATTTGATCATTCCATGACTGGTTCAGGTTTTAGTGGGTCTAAAGCATGAACAAAGCCACCCATCTGTGATTGTTCTTCGCTGAAGAGGACTTGCTTTCCTGGCATGTTCCCCACAAAATTGTGCCAAATACTGCTGATTCCCAATGCAGATGGGAGTCTTACCTTCAGAACAATCAGGTTACACAGTAAAGCCTTCTCTCACTTCTTCCACTGTTTTTGGAATTGAAAGCAACCCAGTTGTCTCTAAGAACAAAAAGGAAAACAAATATAAAAGTAAACCACCCTTTTATTGCAAGGATTAGGGGAAATTGACCACTTTTTAATATTAGAAATTTCAATCATATGGTGAACTAGTTTATATTTTCATTTTGACATTTTCCTTTTCAGTAGGAGGGCAATTAAGCCATACTTTAAGCCCATTCAAAGTGGCCTTATTCCGAAAATGTTGTAGGGATACCTATAGATAATGCTCACCAGCAATCAGCAGAGCTTAAGGATGCAGGAATGCCTAGTTCTGCCCTCCCTAAATAACCTGACCCAAGGGTCCCTTGAGATAGGGACTTCCTCCATGAAAACTTAGGACTCCTACTGTCCTCCCTGCCTCCCATTTTGCCCAACTTCAGTACATTTTCCACAGAGCTGACAAATGGATCTTCCTTTCATGCAGATTTGATCATGCCAGCCATCTGCTTGAAATAAACTTTCAATGACTCCATACGAGCCTCAGAATTAAGTCAAAACTCTAGTATTAGCACATTAACAAGTTTTCTCTTGATGTGACTCTGCTCACTCCTTTTTACATCAGTCCTGGTCTCTCCTCCCTGTGTACAACTGCCTGAGTCATATTAAGCCATGTTTCATCCCAAAATGTGCCTTTCCTTCTGTCACTGCCAGGCATTTGCACCACTGCCCACTCTGCCTTGAAAACCTCTTTCCCCCTTCTTCACCTGGCTCATGCCTTCCTTTTCATTTTAACTTCCAGTTTAGTTAGTTTAGTTAGATTAATCCAGATTCTATTTTTGCCATGTTAAAATATGGCCAAAACACAGAATACTATGCATGATTTTCAATCTTACTAAACATGTTTCATCTTGCACATTTGTCCTTGTTGCTCAGTGAAAACACATTAAAATTCTGCAGCAGTCCAACCTTCATCTTGACAAAATTGCTGAAAACAATCTAACCATGAGTGCATGATTCTTTTCACATATGATAGAATTTTTCACTAATGTATCTACTTACTATAGCCACATCCACATGTCCTCTAGTCATGCCCTATCAGACTCCATCCCTGAAATAGCAATCCCTTAAACTTGCATTGTTTTATTTTCATTTTTTATCCCATAATTGAATAAATTATAAATCTTAACTTCCTGTTGAACAAAACAGAGTTATAATCTCAATTTTAGAGGAGGAGGTAATGGTGGCAGATGATACGAAAATATTGTGAGGTTCACCTAACATTTCATAATGTTTTGGCACAGAAAAAAATAGAAGTCTCAATTTTGGATCCTGTTTTCAATTCAGAGGTTCTCCTGGTTTAGGAACTAACAGAAGAAAGAGAATTAATCCTTTGTCTTGCAGGCTAATGACCTTGAAGAAGGATGAGTTTCAGAGCAGTGGGCCCCAGACAGTCAGAAACCCTTCCCCACCCCACTGGCTAGCCATTCACTTACCTTCAAATATATCTAGTGAGTGCTGGTGGAAACTGTGTAATCTGATCCTTCCATGACTGATTCAGACTTCACTGGGTATAAAGCATGGGTACACAGTTCAGCTTATACTCTGCCAGGACTTTGATCCCATTGAACTTGCTGCGAGGACATCTTTCGGCTCACTCTACCTTTTCATGTTCTCCTTAGTGGAATGTGACTTGCCTGAAATAGCGTTTATGTGACTTGCTTTTTGGTTGTTTTCTCCAGATCATTACTCTTTTCCTTTGAGACTTGAATTTAATCTTAGCAAACTGATTGAATTTTATTTTTCTTTTAAGGAGAGCTCTTGTCATCACATCCTCCATCACTTTATAATTCCATATTGTTGTGCCTGTTATTCATGTCACTACGTTGGCCTCATTTTTCATTGCTATGTTTTTCTTTGACATATTCAAATAAAATTAACTCATTGCTTTCTTAATTAGGGATATTTTTATATGAATTTATTGAAAGTCACTTGATATGGTTTGGATCTGTGCCCTCGCCCAAATCTCATGTCAAGTTGTAATCCCCAGTGTTGGAGGAGGGGCTTGGTGGGAGGTGTTTTGGTCATGGGGGTAGTTTCTCATGAATGGTTTAGTACCATCCTCTTGGTGCTGTTCTTGTGATACTGAATGAGTTCTCATGAGATCTGGTTGTTTAAAAGTGTATAGTGCCTCCCCCACCTCTCTTGCTCCTGCCATGTAAGATGCATCACTATCCCTTTGTCTTCCACCATGATTGGAAGCTTCCTGAGGCCTCCCCAGAAACAGAAGCTACTAAGCTTCCTGTGCAGTCTGCAGAGCCATGAGCCAATTGAAACTCTTTTCTTTATGAATTACCCAGTCTCAGGTAGTTCCTTATAGCAATGCAAGAATGTACTAATACACCACTTAAATCTAACAATTCCAACACTTTGCCAGCTTACTCCACTAGTAGACAAAAAATATAATGGATTGGGTCTTTCTCCCCCTTTGAAAGAAAACCTGGGCAAAACCAGAGGAAATGTCCTACTTTTTTTTTTTTTTTTAGTGTCCTGGGAACAAAATGGTCCCTGCATGCTTGATGTAATGAATTAGACAACTAACTGAGGCATAGGCAGCATGGAGCAAGGCTCTGGAGGTGAGCAGGGATCTACCACTTCAGAATGGAGTTACTCTCAGCAAGTTACATAACAGTGTGAGCTTCAGTATCTTTATTTGTCAGATATAATTGTTGGGAGCAGGAAATGAAATGACACCTAACATGGCACCTTATTAATCTTCATCTCTAGTCCCTCCTCCCCTACCTTTTCGACAAATGTTTCAGCTAGAGTTAATGAGACCCAGGTGATAAAGCCACAAACACCATCCTTGCTCTCCAGTTCCTCCAAAAAATAGAAATAACTGGAAGCAAGTGATTAACCCATGATTATTTTTAAATGTGGGTCATGTATGTAAGTAAATAGTATATGTAAATGATGAGGATTTGTTTGACCCAGGAATGCAGCTTTTATAGAAAATTACTGTGCAATTGGTTAATCTGGAATTGCCCCATATTTTTCCATTTTAATTACCAAATTTAGAATTGAATAGACTTCTGTCTATAATCATGAGAAACTCAAAAACAGGAAGATGCTACTTTCTCTGGTGCTTTGTCATTTAGTTCTACTGACAGCAGATTAGTCACCCTTAGGGAGGATGTTTTCCACTAAGAGGCAGACTTGGGAATGCCTTGGCTATTTTTACAAACAAGCTAGCCAATGGAAATTCATTTTTGAGTTGATGAATCCTGTAGCACACTCATTTTAATTGTGTTTATTTACTAGGATACCGCTTTGAATTATTTACTTTTCAGCCTCTTTTTTGACTTCATAAAGACATGATTGTCAGGACATTGAGGAGATCCAAGACTTAATTCTTACCATGGTACTTGAAATAAGTTTGATGAATTTCATAAATGAAAGATGGATAACTCCTCAACCAGAAATGTAGAATTTCAGAATTTCAAAGAGGCTTAATGATCTCTAGTCCAGTCACATATTTGAAGCTTAAATTTGCTCTAGTACATTCCTGTCAAGTGAGATTCAACCGTCAGTGTCCTCCAGGTAGCTCTATTAAAAAGTTATTCCTTATTTTAAACCCCACAGCTTTCACCTTGGGTCTTGATTCTATTATGGACATAAAAAGCAGTTCTGCTCAAACTTACGAAGGTACAGACTTCTTGAGGGCAGGGACTGTATTCACTACAGCTTCTGGTAACTTGAGAAATGATTACCAAATGAATGGAGTTAATAGCAGAAGATCTTCTCTATTTTTGAATATTATCTTACAGACAACAAATGAATAGTGTATTTAAGTTCCATTGAGAAAGCATCATATAAGAACTGATTTTATTGTTTAAATGCTATTTTTCCTTTCAATCATATGCTTGAAGCACTTTTACCTGTTTATGTTACTATAGTATACCTTTACTATAAAATACTATATGTGATGACTCTACAGCTATTAACTGTTGGGCATTACATGTGCAGAGCATACTGTCTGCTACTTGAGGCAGAGAAGTTGTAACCCCACTGAAGTTAGATATTAGAAGTCCTGGGCTCTAACCCCAGCTGCACCATTAACATCTGAGTAACCCTGGGCAGGTCAGTCAGTCTCTTCAGTTCTTGATTCCTCATCTGCAAACTGCAAGGGTTGAACCAAATACTCTCTTCAACTTCTTTCCACCTTCACAGACTGTTTCTGTTCTTGACTTGTTTGTCCCATGTGGTAGGGTATCATAGAGACAATCCAAGAATACAGACCTCAGATTTCCAGTTCAGTTCTCAAACTATAGTGTCAATAACTATCTACCTATGTACGTTGTTTAAAGCTAAGGCTGCTTTCCCCACCACCCTCTCTTTCCAGAATACTTTTCTTCAGGAGACAGTGCGTAGAGAATGTGAAGAACGCTTTGAACTGACAGAGGCTTTGAGTCAAGCCAGAGAAGAGCTCCTGGAGTTCAGAAAGCTTTTTGGAAATTTATCATTCTCACCGTGTTCCCTCAGCAAGGGCAGCCTAACCTCCCCTGCTGCAGTGGTCAGTAATCATGGAGAGGGAAGCCTTGCAAGACTGAACTCTGAAAAAGGAATCAAAATTCCCAGCCTTCACGGAGTATCGCAACCCACCTCTTTCCCAACCTCAGATAAGCCCAAGAGGGTTAGCAGCTCAGGCTTGCCCCTTCTCCCCCAGCCACATCCTTCCAGGGATGGAGCATCTTCAGTAAATGAGACCAGACAGAGACAGAGATTGGCTGCCATTATTAGGAGGAGGCGGAGTCAGCAATGATCCAAAGTGAGGGGCAGCTCCCCACAGCGTGCATGCTCTTTCAGAGTGCCAGGAACTCACTGTAACTGAGAATGACAAATATAAAATTATTTTCACAGATCAGGAAGGCATATCTGTAGATATATTTAACAAAAGACTGTAAAAAGCTGGAAAATTGTGAATCCATATTTTTCAAGAGGGCTTTGATAGAGTAACAGATCATTTAGTTGTTGGTATTCCAGAGGTCCAATTTCTATATTTATGTTGCAATGTGCTCTATAAATATAGCCTTTTAGAGATCACAGATAAAATTTTTTCACCCGTAACATCTTTTTTATTTTTTGCACCACTACAAGAAGATATATTTGCACAAAAAAATAGATTGTTTGAGTTTTGTTGCTATGTGTTTGTTTGTTGAGCTGAATTGATTAAATAGATGTAATAAGTATTCCAAACAGAAAAAAAGTACTTTATCTAATTAAGATTATAATTTCCAAAATGCCTAGTTCGAGTAGTTTCAGAGCTCATCATCATAATCAAAAGCTTCTTTTCCTCACCTTACAATCTAATTGGTTAATCTGATTTCTCTTTAGGCTATTTCAGAGTTAATTATAGATAACCTTTAGGAAGACAGTCTTCTTTCAGTGGCTGAGGAACTTCTAGGAAAAGAGATGGTAATGTCAATTCAAGGAAATTGTAGTATATTTCTCAAATTATATAGATTATTTTGATAAACAAAGAACCTGACCATATTGATAGATATTTTCTACAATGAGTGCTTTTTGGTACGCAAAGTTAGGTCTTGATTTGAACTTGTATTCTTGAACCATTGGAAAAAGAACTAATTCAGTACAGTTTAAGAAAGTTATATAGAGTTAATTTGGGATTCAAATTTGATTACCCCTGAAAATGGGTAACTGGTTAATATGTTTTCGATTTTCGGAGTGAAAAAGTAAAACCAGAAGCCAAAAATAAAATCAGTTATTTTATCTTAAACCTGTAGACACCTCCTGTTTCTTAAAACACAACTCTTTACCTTAGTCTAGTGTTCATCTATGTTTTTATTCATCTAATAGAAGTGTATTTTCCTTCAAAAACTGACTTTACTTAAATACTCCATCTGACTGCATCATGAACATCCAGCCTTCCTACTCCCACATTAGAATAATAGTAACACATTTAAAAGGTGCTACATAAAATTATCTGCTATTTGACCATCTTATTGATGGGAGAATTCAGAGGTATTTGGGATCCCTTCCATGTGCAAAAAATGTGATGTTACTAAGCAAAATCAAATTTATTTCCAGTCTTTCAAAGTATTAGTCTACTCTATTAGTAGAGTATCCTAACCTCAAAAAAATTCCACATGAGGTCCACTGATTTTCCTGACTAGTTTAAGTATGGCCTCTTGTGTTAAGAGTTGGAATGCTTACTTTTGTTTTGCAGAGATTGGCATCCCTTGTAATGACCTTTGACAAGAAAGCACAACATCACTGAAGAATGGCACTGGTGGATCTTAGAAGTCACCCCAGCCATAATTTTACAGATAAGGAATAGATGCCCAAAGAGATTGTGACTTGGCAAAGGTAGTATAGCTAGTTAATGACAACTAGAACCAGAACCACAATCACCTGACCCCAGCCTTTCCACCTCACCAGAGCTTCCCAGCCTCCATCATAACCTTTGTCAATAGCACCTACACTATATGTAGTTTGTATTTTTCCTTAAATGCACTTACTTTTTAACCTGAAATTTATGTAAAAAGTAAATTTGACTCAAAGAACGGTAGCTATAATAAGTTTGATTTGCTGTTTTTTCTTATACACTTTGAAATAAATGTGTATCTGCTAAAATAAGAAATGTTGGCTGGGCATGATGGCTCCACACTTGTAATCCTAGCACTCAGAAACGCCAAGGTAGTAGTTGCATGAGCCCAAGAGTTAAATCAGATTGGGCAACATAGGCATATCTTTTCTCTACAAAAATAATAATAATAATAATTAGTCAGGCATGGTAGTGCTTTCCTATAGTCCTTGCCACTTGGGAGGCTAAGCTGGGAGGATCCCTTGAGCCCAGAATGTCAAGTTTGTAGTGAGCCATGATTGTTCCACTGCCATCCAACCTGGCCATGATTGTTCCACTGCCATCCAACCTGGGCAACAGAGTGAGACCCTGTCTCAAAACAACAACAACAACAAAGTGTTAGTTGGTGCACCCTCTAAAATCATCTTGTATAATGCCAACAGGGGACCACTGCATTGGACCTTAGGGTCTCTGATCTGTTGTTTGCATGTTTAAATTACAAGTACTCATGACATAAGGAAAATGGCAAAATCTAGTGAAAATTTTAGTGAAAGCACAAGAGAATATTGTGTGTAACAGTCTTTGTCACAGGGTTACACATGCTTTTTACAATCTTGCAATTTCAGCTCATGGAGATACAGTGGGTCTATATCTTCAGAAACCATGGGGATAAAATAGATTTCTTCATTTTTTCTAAATTATGAATGTATTTAGATTTGTAAAGTCACACATAAGCTTTTCTAATGCTGATGTAGATTATTAGTACAAAACCTGGTTTCTGTTTCCTGTTACATTTTTGCTTTATTAGAATGAGTAATTCTGTAAATAATCACTCTGAGAATAGAATCATGATCTGCAGTGAGGCTGTATTATACTCCACAAATATGACAGAGAAGTAATTCCATGAATAAACAGAAAGATCATATTAACATTTATCTCAGCCTAGACCATTTGAATGGTGCAGACTGAACTATGTTGCCTTTAAAGGAAGACATCTTTAACAAAACATTAGCATTGTAGGATGTAACCTACAGGTTAGGAACACATTAAAATTTTTCTTGATTTTATCACTGATAAATAAGTTCCTGCCATAAGATGGTTATAAGGAATCTTAGGAAAGTGGTAAGGAGGATGAAAAATAAGCTTCAAATACATATAATAAATATTTAGTCTAATACTTTTAATTTATCCATAGATTGATGTTTCCCATGACTTAATGGAAGGATTTACAAGTGTTAAAGAGAAAAGATATCAAAGAAAATATTCCTTAGAGAATTATAATCCTCTGGTTTTGTTCTTAAACTGGTATTCATGGACAAAGATGGGAGACTTCTTCTAAATTAACATAGATTTCTCAAAAAGTTTTTAAAAGTCTTATTGAATTAAATTACTATATTTGTAGTTGGTCAGAACTACTTAAAAGTCACATTTCCGGGTAAGGGGATTGACTGGAAGAGACATTAGTACTGAAAATTATGTAAGACTAAGATCTTTTAATGTTCTGTTAGTCTTAAAGTTTTCATAATATTTAAAATCAATTCTTGCTAATTTCTTTGATTATGGAGCTAGCTTTCACAAGTTTTATCTTTCTAAATTCTTATGACTCTTACACAATTGCACTAATAGATCAACCTAGTATTCTAAAAGAGTTAACACACTACAGCTGAAAATGTTTAACCAATGTATTGCAGATTATGGAGCACTGGAAATCAATTTGGTATGTGCTCAAAATTCACAAATCCTATCGTGACTATAAACTTTTTCATTTCCAAGTTGTAGGAAAATAATGTAGACTGTATCTTGCAAAGAAAACCTTTAATGGTCCCCAAATCATGATAGACAATTATGATATCATTGCTGAGGTGGTGTCAATGGTATTTTGAGGAAGAATTTGATTTTCTGCTTGAAAATATTAACCCTGTATAATAACACGTTGTGAAGCCAGTACCATTGTGTTGCATTTTTAGAATAGTAAATATAGGCTGGGCGCAGTGGCTCAAGCCTGTAACCCCAGCACTTTGGGAGGCCGAGGCGGGTGGATCACGAGGTCAAAAGATCGAGACCATCCTGATCAACATGGTGAAACCCCGTCTCTACTAAAAATACAAAAAATTAGCTGGGCATGGTGGCGCGTGCCTGTAATCCCAGCTGCTCAGGAGGCTGAGGCAGGAGAATTGCCTTAACCCAGGAGGTGGGGGTTGCGGTGAGCCGAGATCGCGCCATTGCACTCCAGCCTGGGTAATGAGCGAAACTCCGTCTCAAAAAAATAAATAAATAAATAAATAAGAAAGAAAGAAAGAATAGTAAATATAAATTATATCATCTTTGTATATTATGAATTTTACATATAGAATTTTCTTAATATAATAGATGAATCTGGGATACACTGTCCTATGACAATATTTATCATGATCTAGTAAGTCAAGAGATTTCCTCTGTTCCAACATTTATATAGCATAGTGCTTTACATTCTTTAAGTAAAAAAATTTACTAAATTTCCCTTGCCTTATAAGAAACTATGTGAGAATAGCGAATCACAGTGATTAATTTGCCCAAAATAATAATAGATTAATAAATAATTTTAAATTTCTGCAATTTCTGAATGTCTTGATCCATAGATTAATACTGAATCTGTATTATTCATTCACTCATTTCTTCAATGTATATGAGGAACTGAAAAAATACTGTGAGAGCTGCAAAAAGCATACTACAGATTCCCAAGAATTATACAAGTAGAGGGCAGGGAGAAAGCATATATAGACATTAGAATATAGGGCAGAGAGTATTGGGTAAAAAGAGAGTTGAGAGCAAAGTATTATGTGAGTTCACCTTTTTGCTAGAAGAATCAGAAAATACTTTAAGCCAGAATTGGCATTTGCAATGGATCTTGAAGAATAGATAGGATTTATGGAAGAAGGTATACAAGGTAGAAGAAGAAATGCATAGAAAAAAGAGTCACAAATTCTGTTTATGGGAAATGTAGAAAACATTTGGTGAAGGGAAGTAGTGGGAACCTGAAAAATGTAGGCTGACCTCATTGCATGAAGGTGTTGAAAAAGGACCCCCTTCAGGCTTTAAACTAGAAGTCACATGTACATTTTTGAAATTTGGGACCATTGCTCTGGCAGGGCAGTATTGGAGTAATTATGGGATGGAAAGGCTGGAGATGGAACACAAGTTGGTGGACTAGTACAGTACTTCAGGCAAGAGTTAATGAAATTCTGAATAAAACATTGGTATTGGGGATAAACAAGAGGCAACTGATTCAGATTCTATTCAGAGA